GGAGAACAAACTCGCTCTGAAGCTCTACCCGGGTCTGCATGAAAGTGAGAAATCATAGAGAGACTGGTCTGAGGCTGTGCAGGGACGTGTTTTCTCATTAATGACGGTTTTTTTTATCATCTTTTATTTAAAAAACCCATAAAGTTTCAATAACGTTTCTTCAAAAAACACCAAACTCTTTGATGTAAGTCTCTGTCTGAAGAGGAAGAGTTCATCCGAAGAGTGGACAGCAGCTCAGATTAGAGCTAACAACAGCAAAACCAGCCGAACATCAGCTGCAGGAGGAGACCAAGGAGAAAGACTTGCGCCTCTGTCTTCGATCGCCTTTCCCGCTTGTCAAATGTGACGAAGGAAAGAGAAGTTTGGTGATCCCAATCTAGCTGCTTCTTACTGTGATGTTGACGTAGCTGCCAAATGTCTGAAAGATGGACTACAAACAGATTATCTTACATACTTTACCCAATCTGTTGTCTGCTAGATAAATAAAACCTGTCAGTTCATTAGATAATAACTGCAAATAAACGGGAGAAAACAGCTTGTAAAGGAAATCCTTTTCAAATGAGATTCTCTCCCTGTTGCAGAGATGATCCAGAGTAACTCCTCATTCATTTGGGATTTCTGTGACTGCCATCAGATTCATCCATGATCGTCCTAAAAGCTGAAACACACCTGACAAAGCTCCTGCAAACCGAGCTGAGAGCAACACTTTATTAAAACTCTTCCTTTTTATTTCTTTTACAGGCCCATCTTCAGATTTCAGTCAGTAGTTTATTAATGAACATTAACACGACCCAAGTGGAATGGTGTTGGTTTATCGGGCTGGGACAGAAAGCTGTTCATGATTATTAACGATCTGTGTGTGTGTTATAAAACTGTCACTGTGTGACCTTCCTGCAGCTTCAATATTTAAACTGTCAGGAAATAAACTCATTCATCATTAGCATCTTGTCTCCATGGAGATAGAGACGCAGTGAATATGTGAGTGGCCTTGAGCAGAGACCAGGTGTGCACTGGATTCATTCTGTAATCAGTCAGAAGATTATAAATAAATGAATGGTAAATGGCCTGTATTTATATAGCGCTTTACTAGTCCCTAAGGACCCCAAAGCGCTTTACATATCCAGTCATCCACCCATTCACGCACACATTCACACATTATAATGTCACCCGATGCATTTGATTAACCACTGAACTGGTTGCTTGTGCCTCGTGCTTTTATTTAGAAGGGGCTGTAGCACAGTAAGTCCAGCAGGGGGCGACAGAGTAGAAACTTATTCTGTCAACAGTTTACTGCTCACATGATTAAAATAGATTTGAAGTCATTATCGGTAAGTGCAAACAGACTAACCTTAAATTAGTTTAATTAACAGTAAGTTGAAGACCCCGCCCCCGGGCAATGCTTTAAAGGTTCAGACTGGGTTCAAGTTCAGGGTCAAGGTCCTGGGAAGTCCTCACAAACACCAGAACACGTGTGTGTGTGTGTGTGTGTGTGTGTGTGTGTGTGTGTGTGTGTGTGTGTGTGTGTGAGATCCTTGGTCAGCTGTTGCTCTTCTTGTCTTTCTCTTTGAACTTTGGCCATTTAGACTCGACAGCAGCTGTCGCCTCTGAGCCAGACAGGAAGAGAAATCTGAAGGTGTGAATACTTAGCGTCCAGGTGGAAGCGCAGTTGCGAATCGGAAAACTTTATTGATATGTACAGACATAAACGTCATGACAACACTTACAGAAGCTTTGTTTTACTGCAGGTCACAACTATCCTCCATCCAACTGACCACTCAGATGGCTGAGACTCATCCACCACATGAAGCAAAAGTTTCTTAACAACAAGAAGACAGTTTGACAAAGTTCACCTGCAAGTGAAGTCTGTAAAAAAACCAACATAAATGTATTTTGAGAAGAGACAAAGGTTTTAGGATCACTGAAACTCAGCAGAGTCCATAAAAAGAGAAAAAAGAAATTACTTCTCTTCTTCTTCAGTGAATAAACACTGTTTACATCACAAAAACAGCCTGTTCCTATTGGCTGTCCATTTTCAGTGTAACAGTTTTATTTCTTTTCATTTCCAGGTACATGGACATGTTTTATTAAAAAGGTGTGCAGCAGTCTTTGAGGGGTGTTTGCTTTTATGCCATTAGTGTGTCAGAAATGTTCACCAATCAGGAACAGTGTCAGCATACAGCAAACAAGCTGCCTCAGCCAGTAAAACAACACTTCCCGTTTTATCAACTCTGCAGAAGCTTTGATTTTGCATAAAGAAAGCACCTGCAGCTGCATTCAACAAACTGGAAGTATTAAGAACTGGGAATACAAACAACTTGTAGGTTGAGTCTTTTGTTGATGAAATGTTAATTAAATAGGTAAACATGTGGTTAGCTGTCAGCTCTTAGGTTCAGGTTAGTAGCACATGCCTGTTATGAATTAATGAGTACTGTCTCAGGCAGTTTTAGATACAATCTCAAACACATCCGTCATAACATTTGAGTCGATCGAGGTGACTCAGAAACAATCAATAATCAGGGTCACCTGCAAAGTTTGACGTCACACAGGGCATTAACAATGGTGTTAACCTCTGAACACACCGGAAAAACAGAGTCTCTGCTGAGTTTGTAGAAAGAACGCCAGCTGCAGCTTCCACAGGTGAGAGGAGAAACTGGAGGAACAGGTGTGCTGTCACACGACAGATTCCCTCAGGTTCTCATCTTGAACAAACTCATGAGTGCTGCACGGCGGGGCGGCGCGGAGAACAAACTCGCTCTGAAGCTCTACCCGGGTGGGATGCACCTGACCTGAAGCCGTCTGCTCGTGGCTGCCGCTGTACGGCTGACTCAGTCCTTTAGAAAGAGTTGCTTCTGTCTCTGGTGGCTTGTCCTGTCGTCCGTCCAGCTTCTCTCCGTATTTGTAGGATACCCGTTTGACCTTGCCCCGCTGAAGGAGGTGCTTCCTGTACGCTCTCTGGATCACTGTCGCTGCTACCTCTTCCTGTTTCCTCCGCAGAGTACTGCTGATTGGTTCATATGACTCCTGTATGTCATAATGATCACAGCATCAGAGACAAATAATATTTCTGACAAGCTGTCAAAAATGTTTTTGACAGCTTGTCAGAAACTGAATATGAACAGATAAAAATCCTGCTCTGTTACAAAAACACTGAGCTTGATCTGTTGCATGTTCACCGACACATGAAGAGCCCACGAATCGCCTTCTAAAGATGTCTCTTCATTTCCCATCAGGACAGAAATGTGTTGTGGCCATTTTTGTTGAATTCTTGTGAATCATAATTTTTATCCATTATAACATACTTAAGCTATTTCGCTATTAAAGTCTGTAATTAAAAGTTTAATTTTGGAAAAGTTGTTTGGACCCTCGCATTAACTCAGAGCATGCTTGGTGGAAATGTTTTCCTTGTTGTCAGCTGGTAAGACGGGAGCATTTTTAAAATGATATTTTGACCACTCTGTGAACTTGTGGAATTAGATTAACTTTTGTTTATAAGTTGTAAGAAATGATTTGGTTCATAATTTTGCAAGAAATAAACAGCATATATTTTTCAAAGAGTCACGTTGGAAGTGCGTTCTGAAACAAACCACCTGCTGCCACCTCAGGCCTTTTCTTGGATTATTCTGTTTGGAAGCTTAAAAGGCCGTGACACAGAGGTTAACCATCTTAACCTCATTAGACACCAATCCGAACTCTAACTCTGGTTGCCAGAACATGTAAGTTTTGATTTTATGAGATTGTTTTTCTGGGTCTTTGGTCTGACCAAAGAACATACTCATTCTGACTGACACATCAAACATACTTACGTTTTTTGCATTCTTTTTCTTTTCTCCAAAGATTTCTCCACAGATTCATTTGTCACTTGTCATTTACATATATATGAGAGCTTTGTGTGACCGTTAGACATCTCAACATGAAATAAAAATTTAGACAAGCTAAGCATGAAGCTAAGCTATAAACAGGTCTCAGATGTAATAACAGCTTCTACACAAATTCAAAGCAGTACTGAAAGGAAACCAATTACTGGTACTTAAATATGCCCATGTGCAAACTCTCCCAAGAACTGTACATGACACTGGTAAAGACTTTATGATAGAATAGAACAGAACCTTGGATGGGTTGTTGGCTGTGAACTTGTCTTCCATGTTGCCTTTTAGAGCATCCATGGCCCCGGAATCACCTAAAACCTATAAATGTAATATAATATAGTATAATATAATAAAGATCCAATAGAATAAGCTGTAAATGTGAGCAGGTGAGGTTACCTGTGCAGTGAGAGCAAGCAGTATGTCCAGACAGTGCAGCTTTTCTCCGGGTACCAAAGGCAGGTCCATTTGGATCAGGGTGGCAGCGTTGGGTTTGGGAATCCTCAGAGGATCCTGCAGAGCATCGCAGAAGTCTGACAGCTCACTGAGGAACACATTAGAATCCACAGAACTTAACTCTTACAGGTCTTTAGAGAACACCACATCTCAGATTAGAGCCAGACTAAAACACAGGTGGACTTACCTGTAATGTATGAACTGTGAGGCATCGGGGTCAAACTTTTCCCAGGTTTCATAAAACATCTCAAAGTCATCTTCACACAGTGGGTCGCTGCTCTCCTCTGTAGCTACATTGAAGTTCTCCAGGATGATGGCAATGTACATGTTAACCACCACCAAAAAGGACATGATGATGTACGTGGTGAAGAAAACGATGCCTAATGCTGGGCTGCCGCAGTTCCCTCTGACAGTCGTTCCTGGGTTTTCAAAGTCTGGGTCGCAGTCTGGGGGCGTGTTCATGATGGGATTTAGCAGTCCATCCCATCCTGCTGATGTGGTGATCATGAAGAGGCAGATCATGCTGTTTCCAAAGTTCTCAAAGTTAAATATGTCGTCAATCATCGCTTCCTTCTTCACGTAGGCAAAGTTAGACATACCAAAGATGGAGAAAATAAACATGATGAGGAAGAGAAGGAGACCAATGTTGAAGAGAGCAGGAAGGGACATCATCAAGGCAAAGAGCAGCGTCCGGATCCCTTTGGCTCCACGAATAAGACGAAGGATTCGGCCAATACGAGCCAATCGGATCACACGAAAGAGCGTAGGTGATACAAAGTACTTTTCTATGATGTCAGCAAGGAGAAGGCCTAAAGGAAGGAAGGAAGGAAAAAAGAAAGAAGGTGGAAAGGGAAAAGAAAGTATGAGATTCTTCTATTAACGTGTGAATTAAAAAACAAAAATATTAAATATTGTCAGTTTCCTCAAACATGGATTCACCTGCAATGGAAAGTATAACCACCACAAAATCAAAGATATTCCAGCCGACGGCAAAGTAGTGCTGCCGCAGAGCGATGATCTTTAGACCGCACTCTGTGGAGAAGATGATGATGAAAACAAGGTTGACCCAGTAAAGGATGATTTCTTTGTCCTTGCTCTGCTCATCTGTTTCCACCATCATAGTCACCATGTTGAGACAGATCAACACCATGATGAGAACGTCAAAAAAACGTTGGGTCACCAAGTCAAAGACCAGACCCTGAAACTTATTCTGGACACAAAAAATAAAGGAACCATTTAAATCTTGCTCCATCCCAAATGTTTAAATCCTGTTTTCTGCTCACAGGGAGTAATCAAACTGACCTCAGGCCGTGGGATAGGTTTCTGAGGTGTCTTAGAGCCCAGTTTCTTCATGGCGTTGTAATACTTCTTCTGCTCCTCTGTCATGAAAATATCACCTCCTCCCATGTAAAGAAAAAACAACACACAGTCAGCTGGCAAATAGAAATCCAGTAATAAATGATTGATGTCAGTGAGTAAAAACCTATCTTAGCTTTCTGCTGGTTGAAGTTGTCTATAATGACTCCGATGAAAAGGTTGAGGGTGAAGAATGAGCCAAAGATGATAAAGCAGACGAAGTACAGGTACATGTACAGGTTGTCCTCATACATTGGCTGGGACTCCACCTACACTCCCAAGAATGTAACCATGGTAACCAAGATAAAGGTTAGGGTGAGAATGAAAACTGTTGAGTGATGTCATTCTCTGGGGACACTATTTCAGGGGTTAGGGTGTTGCCATCAGTGTTGGGAAGGTTACTTTTTAAATGTATTCCACTATAGATTACATGCCTCAAGATGTATTTTGTAACGTATTCTGCTACTTTACTCAATGAGAGTAACGTATTCTGAATACTTTGGATTACTTAATATATTATCATGCTTTTTACAACTACATGAATGTACTATTGCTGTGTGATTTATTACTGTTACTGAAGGTTACTCGTCACACCAACTAGATGTTTAAATCTTAATATAAATGAGTAACAGTAGGTGGACATTAGGTAAGGCTGCACTTTTTGCAGCGATCTCGTATAGAAAACTATTCCACGCGTATATAAAACAGGTCCGCAGCTCTGAACCGTAGTAAAGGGACCTCTGGCTGATACGTCGGGTTCGTGTCGGGCTCGTAGCTGAAAACTAGCTTTACTTGGTTGTCTGGGTCGACTTTGCTAGCGAGAGACAGAGAGAGGCGTTGAAAGGCTGCTCCAACAGAGCTTATTGTTTCAGAGGAAAACACGAACACGGTGTGCAGTCGAGTCTTAATAGCTTACTTACAGCTGGGCTTGTCAGGCACTCTTTTTGGCTGCAGTGGTTATTATATTATATTTACATGCTTCCAGCTCCCGTTTCTGCTCGGTGAAAGCTCGTACCTTTCCTTTTTCTCCCTCCTCGCGCTCACAGACACATAACGGGTATGGCAGTCCATTCTCCCTGCAGCACGGACTACACTGCCCATCAGGCTACATTCTTTAGGGCTATGACTGTAACACTCTGCTATTGCATTCATATTAAATCATTTTTTGAATAATACATTTTAAAATAATATTTCTTCACGTTATTATGCGGACCACAAGTAGAGGTGACATGGGCCGCGAGATAGAGACATAGACATTTGAGCCTCATAATGCGTGTTTTGTTTGGGTTTCCACCGGCGTGGAATTACCAAAAATAGAGAGAGCATAGCCAAACATATGAAACAGGAAAAGACCGCCATGTAATCCATTTATTTCAACAAAGTAACTGTATTCTGAATATCATATTTTAAATGGTAACTGTAACAGAATACAGTTACTCATATTTTTTATTTTAAATACGTAACACCATTACATGTAGTATTCCATTACTCCCCAACACTGGTTGCCATTAGATATCTGATTTCCTTTCCCGCCTAAAGTGCATTGTTTAGGAATCCAACAAAATGAAATAAGTTAAATTGTTGTGATGGCTTAAATGTTTTTCTTAGGTTTACCCAACTAACCACAATAACTCAGAAGCAACGAAATGTTCTGACATGAAAAATTCTCGTCCCTTTCCGTCAGACTTCATTTTTAAATACACAAATCTGCTCACAAGTAGGAGATCTGTGCATCGGTATCAGCACAGTCTCAGTAACCGTTTCAGTACAACTGACCTCTCTTGAGTCTACTGCTGCATACATGATATCCATCCAGCCTTTAAATGTGGCCTGAAAGACAAAAGTCCTGAACATCAGTTTCAGCTGTTCATCTACTGCAAGAATCAGCAGGTAAAGACCCACAAAACATCATGACAGCAATATCTGATCAGTGAGGTCAGTAGAATTATTCTGTATTGATCTATTGGGTTATTTCTCTGTGAAGTCACAGGTGTTCAGACTAACCACTTGCAGCAGAGACAGGTAGCCCATTCCAACATTGTCGTAGTTGATCTTCAGGTTCTTCCAGTGGACCTCAGTGAAGTTTTCCTGAATCAGAGCCAAACACTGGGTCTTGTTGTCAACCCTCTCAGGGAGAAACAACTCCTCTGATGTCTCATTGAAGCAGTAATAAAACTTTCCTGCAAACAGGTTCACGCCCATGATGCCGAATATCAGCCAGAAGATCAGACACACAAGGAGGACGTTGAAGATTGATGGGACTGCTCCAACCAGAGCATTAACCACCACCTGCAGTGAGAAAGCAACCAGTCAAACACAAATTTACTAGCACCCTGAGACCCTCTTGACAGGGTTGTAGACATGTGCTAGCCCCACCTTCATCCCCTCAAAGCGGGAGAGGGCTCTTAGGGGCCTCAGAGCTCTTAGGGTCCGCAAGGACTTGATGGCTCCCAGCTCAGAGTATCCCAGGATATTTGCTGTTAGCGACACCAGAGACACCTGAAAGACAAATGACACTGGTGGTGAAGTCAGAGTACTAATGTCCTCCTAAAGTAGACTGTTACGCCACAGGGTGTGAGGACCCCAGATTAAACACTTTGTTCTGATTTAAAACAAGCTGTGCATGAACAGAAGTCTATATGAAATATTCAGATTTATTAGCAGTTTAGACATGAACCTGGAGGAATGGAAACCTGTCCTTATTACTGTGGTGGAGTCTCCCTAATGAAGCTTATGCAAAAGTTCAATAAGGAATATCTGTAGTCACATATCTGTCTGTTTTCCCGGCATTGCGGCTAATCTAGGCTTTCATTTACTCTCCCACACTGTGCAGCTGATTTTGACATCACTGCTCTAGTCCAGTCATCTTTTGTCCAACCTTCTTCAGGCCAATCAGCCTTTGCTGTGGGTACTATAAATCTCACTGTGTACTCACTCCATTGCAGACCCCTTGGTACAACCCTCCTCCTCCCCATCACCACCTCTCATGACTCAGCCTCCATTCAAGTCTCCATCTTCATTTCCACCACCAGCGTCAAGATTCCTAGGGGTCCAGCCCTAATCCCTATCACCAGTGGGATTCTGTTCTGCTGTGATGGGCCATTGTAGTCGAACCACCAAATACCTCAAACTGAATTCTGAACATCAATAAATTATGTTCAAATCCTTCTAATGATCTCTCCTTATTAAACTATATGCAAGTGTCTGGGGAGACACCGGGGAGCCATGGACATCCATGTTTGTGTCTGTAGAAACCCTCGTTGTGTTTAAAATATGTGGAGGTAAGGCAGAGGTCTTTAGCTCCACTCCAGTGGAGGGGTGGTGCCGCGGGCTCAAGGGGCAGTGCCAGGAAAGCTAAGTTCCAGGTGGCGGAAATTAGCTTGATGAACTCTTTTCCTTTTTTTAGTGACATCGGGGACTGGCAGACGAGTGTGAAGTACATGAAGCATTGTGTGTTTAACTTAAGCTGCAAAAACACTAGGAACGGTGACTGAATGCTGTGTGGGTCAAACAGGCAGACTGTTGTTGATTCAGTGAAATTGAAGTAGAATTTTTAAACCTCCCGTGTTCACATTCCTGTTTATAGAAATTAGTGCACATTTAATGAGATGCAAAGTATGTAATAATTTAAAATAAGCAAACAAAAACAATCTTAATTTCTATCTGGGATGTTTCATAATGTCTGTCAGTTGTATCATAGAAAAACAAAAGATAAACATCAACAGCATCTTTGGTAATCATGCATTCTGTTCTTACATCTACAATGAGGAAGTCAAGCCAGCACCAGGCGTTGGTGAAGTAGGTCTTGAATCCATAGGCGACCCACTTGAGAACCATCTCCACCACGAACACGTAGGTGAACACCTGATCCGCATACTCCAGGATCGTCTTTATGACCCGACGCTGCTCCATGTAGATATCTTCAAAAGCCTGTTTTCAAATCAGCTTTAGTCACCACATGGAAAGGAGTTCACTGTGTAGTGCATCTGCTTGTAGAGTGATATT